GATCACAAAATGGGACTATAATGTTTGACCTAGCATGATGTACAAGGTTTATGCATTTACCAGTTGAGGTGCGTTACAGATTCAGTGGTGAACCAGTGGAAAGATTTCTGCAATTTGTCCCTATATTTTTGCATACAGGACAGTTGTTAGCTGATAAAGTTTGCAGGACCCTTCAAGACCACAATATAGACATTAAAGACTGTTGCAGTCAGGCATAGGACACTGCTAGTAATATGTCTGGAAAATATAAAGGAGTACAGACACGCATTCTTCGAATCCGGTTGGACAACAAGCTGTTATTGTCTGTCCATGTGTTGCAAATTTTTAATGGTTCAGTCACTGATTTCTCTCTCTTCTCTGACCTTTTGTTGGTCTTTGCTTCTAGAGTATCTGAAAGCAAATTAAAAAGGGCAAGGGCTTTTCTTGAAGCAGCTGATTTATCCATGTCAATGCTGTCGAAGTTTTGCAAATTAACTACTGCAACCTCATTAAATGCCTCCAAAATACAGGAAATGATCCAGATGAAAATTATGACACACTGTCATGTGATATTACTTTTTTAAAAAAAAATGAAAAAAATTGGAAAATATTTTCATGTGGAGCAGGATTTTAAATCAGTTTTAATGAAACAAGTTTCTATTAGCAATCAAGTAAGCTGCACTTGGGCACTATAACCAACATTCTTGAGTCACTTGTGAAATATTTCCAAAGCTTCAGAAATGAGTTTTTTGATTGATTAGGCATCCTTCAGTCTCGAGAGATGATGGTAACGTGCTCTGTATGGAGGACTTGGAGCAGCGTCTAGTGTGGCTGAAGAGGCCAATTCAAGAGTGACAATCTCTTCCAGACAAGTACAATCTGTCCCCTGTCCAGCTCCCTGATTTTGCTGCTTTCAGGACGGCCTCTTTGCCTCGGCCTGCTGGACAAGGGTCTCTTCAAATTGGGAGAGGCCGTGATGCACTGCCTGCCTCCAGGCTGAACGCTCAGATGTCAGAGTTTCCCATCTGTTGAGGTCCATTCCTAAGGCCTCCAGATCCCGCTTGCAGATCTCCTTGTATCGCAGCTGTGGTCTCCCTCTGGGCCGATTTCCCTGCACTAATTCTCCATACAGGAGATCTTTTGGAATCCAACCATCAGCCATTCTCACGACGTGCCCAAGCCAACGTAGACGTCGCTGTTTCAGTAATGTATTCATGCTGAAAATTCCAGCTCATTCTAGGACTACTCTATGTAGAACAGCTAAGACCAGCCTGTTTGATAGTGAGTATGAAAGCTGTAATGGAAATCACAAAACTTTTTTTTTGATGAGGCCATGTCTGAAAATGTAGTTCTAGAAGGAAGCAGAAAGTTTCAAGTTCGAACTTACAGTGTAAGGTAATTATTGACACACTTGTTAGTTGTCTGCTTGAAAGAGGGGAGCAATATTCTTCAATACACTGCATGTCTGGCTTTTTGGATGACTGGGCTTTCATATCAGTATGGAAATCACAAAACTTTTTTTTTGATGAGGCCATGTCTGAAAATGTAGTTCTAGAAGGAAGCAGAAAGTTTCAAGTTCGAACTTACAGTGTAAGGTAATTATTGACACACTTGTTAGTTGTCTGCTTGAAAGAGGGGAGCAATATTCTTCAATACACTGCATGTCTGGCTTTTTGGATGACTGGGCTTTCATATCAGTTCAACAATTAAGAAAACATGCATTGACTCTACAACAAACTTATCAGGATAATTGGGAAAACACATTTACAGATGAAGTTGTTGTTTACCACAATGTTGCCTTCCCAGCGTTAACAGTAGCAAAGAGGACAAAGATTAACCAAATAGTGGTAGGAAATACTGTAGCAAATTATTGCGAGAAAGAATCATCTCAGTCTACCCAAACATCCATATAACCTTTCGTCTCCACATGACATGACATGTCTCTGTGGCTGAAGGGGAGGGTTCCTTTTGAAAACTAAAGTTTATGAGTGTTACGCTCTTCAATGGAAGAACAGCGCCGTAACAGTTTAACAATAATTCCAATTGAGAGTGACATTTTGAAGCCAATTGATTTCGAAGACATCAGTAGTGAATTTGCCAAACAGAAAGCAAGAAAAGAATGTAAAAAAAGTTTTCTGTTCAAAACCTCATCATACTGCCTTTAACCTCTTTGTGGTAAGAGCAGACCCTCCTTCTCTGTGTGATTTATCCAGATTTATCCGGACTCACTAGACTATCTGATCCCTGTTGGATCCCCAACTGCATGTTGAACAGCACCTTGACGTATCCAAAGTGTTCATTTTGGTTCTGTAATAGGAGGCAGCACATTGATCCAGCCGCTGGAGGGTCCCTGGACCTTGAGCAGTGAAGCTGGCCTTGCCTTCCACCCGGGATACCGCGAGACAGGCCTCACGTGATTCCCAGGTGGGAGGGGGAAGACCGGGTATTTAAAGGGCCTTTCCTTCCAGAACGCCCTCTTCTTTTCGGGCACCCA